TTATTAAACCAGGATCCAGAGACTCCAAAGAATATTTGAATGGGCTCTGAGAGTCTTAGAATTAACCCTAAACTTCTATGAAAAACTGAGTGTATGTATTTTTTTTCTAAGAAGATAGGACAAAGCTTTGAGATGCTCAGAGAGGTTTGCCAACTTTTAAGAATCTTTGGGCCAGGAGCAGTAGCTCAAGCCTACAATCCTAGCTTCTTGGGAGGCAGAAATCAAAGGATCATGGAACTAGGTCAGCAGGACCAAAAAGTTCTGGGCACCCCATCTCAACAAATAAAAGCTGGGCATGGTGGCATGCCACTATCACCCCAGCTATGTAGGGAAGCATAGATAGCAAAATGGTAGTCCAGGCTAGTCTGGGCATAAAGGACACTGTCTCACAAATAACCAAAGCATAAAAGGGCTGGGTGTGTGGCTCAAGTGCACCCACCTAGGAGTTGTGAGGTCCTGAATTCAAACCCTAGTAGACAAAAACAAAAAACAAACACACACAAAAAAAAACTGTATTATGGAATATACTTTTTTAGATGTTATTCTTAATTCAGACTTCTCATGAACTGCCATGCCAGCATTTATCAGAATTCCATGAAATGTAATAAACTACATATTTCAAAATAATCTTAAAATTGTGAAATAGTGAACACAAAAGACATGTGCATACATTTAAAGTGTTAGAGTGACTTACAATTCAAAGCTGACTGGCAAACTCCCACATTCTAGCTAAAGTGGGTCCATATTTACATGTGATGTAAGACACTTAGAAGAAATTAGCACTATTTGCGAAATAATTTACCAAAGCCAATGATACATTTAACAAAATGGTGTGCACTAATTTTTAATACAGCAACTGGCTTTTTTTCAAGAACAGATGCAAAATCTATAATGCCAATTATATCTTACATGGATTTAAAAGATATAAAGGTACAAATTTACACATATTCTGTGAGCCAAAGTTAGATTTTTCTAACTATATGCTTTAATCCATGTGATCACCCCTACCTCACCTGCTAAATATTCTTCCTGTCTCCACCTGTCTAAACCCTACTTTCATTCAAAAGTTTCAATTTCCACCAATTTTGACACATGATCCCATGTTACTGCATTCTGTTTCAGATCTGTATGTAGGAGTACATTGTATCCAACCTAAAATGCACAAAATGTACAAGTTTCAAAATTATTTATTTGAACAAATTTTCACCTCACTTAGATTAATGTCTACTTTCAGTCTGTATGGCGATAATTGTAAAAAAAAAAAAAAAGTCCAGTCTATTGTTATATTGTATGATAATAATTGTTAAAAACAAAAAACCATGTTTCATAGTAAAGGGGGAAGTGGATAGAGGTACAGATGAAGCAAGATTGACCACAAGCTCCTAACTTAAAAGTTGGTGAAATATATACTCTTGTTAAATTTTTAATAGTACAAAATATACAGAAGTTTGCTCCTGCTAGAAAGAGCTGTTGCTTTTTTTTTTTTTTTTTTTTTTTGGTGGTACTGGGGTTTGAACTCAGGGTCCCACACTGGCTAAGCAAGTGCTTTACCACCTGAGCCACTCCACCAAGCCCCCTTTTTGTGTTGGTTATTTTCAAGATAGGATCTCACAAACTAATTGCTTGGGCTATCTCTGAACCACCATCCTCCTGAGAAGCTAGGATTATATGTGTGAGCCACTGGCTCCTGCTACAAGGAAGCTTCTTAAAGGCAAGTTCAGAAGTTTCCTAATTGTGCATTTCTCCAACACAAAGCAGATGAATTTAACTTTACTAAACCATTTCATTCTTTAGGGAGAAACTATTCTTCAATGAAACTTCAAGAGCTTTAAAAAAAAATGTATTGGTGCCTGGGACTGAGCTCAGGTTCTCACACATAATAACCACTTGGCTTTATTCTCTGGGCTTTTTTTTTTTTTTTTGAATGCTGGGGATGGAACCAAAGCCTTATATATGCTATGCAAGCACTCTACCACTTAGTTATACCCTCAACCACAACAGCTTTTTGATAATACTTATAATTTTATAGGTCCTATTTTCTAAGATATCCTGTCATGGTAAATGTAGAGTACCAAAAAAAATTCATCTTTCTAATAAAGTAAGAATCTGACAAAACTCTCAGGGATCCATGACAAATATGGTAGGAGAAAAGACTGGAAAATGCAAAGAAAAAATTAGAGAAAGCAGTAATAATCATAAAGAAAGGTACTGAATCTAAAGTACCCGTGTTTTTAATTAGAAAAGAGGGCAGAGCTTAGTCAAGTTCAAGTGTCTTAAAAGTTCTCCTCACCCTTCCACTTAACAGATAAGGAAACTAAAGGCCAAAGAGGGGAAGTGACTTGTTTGAGTTATATAAGCTACTTTAAAAAAAAAAAAACAACAAAACTAAAACTCAAATCTGCTGACTCACAGTTCAATGTAAATTTTTTATATTGCCACTTCTTTCTACACCTCATTAACTAAAAAGAATAAGCTATTTTATTATTAATATATTCTTCAATTCCATATCATAACATCATTTAAAAGTGGGATAAGTATAGGGGGTAGACTGGGAAGAAAAAAAGCATATCAAATTCAAAAGACAATTACACACGAAAACTATATGCATCTACAAGTTCCTCAATTCTGAGACACATTTGACTTTAAGACACAGTATTCATTTCCCAAACATTTTAAAATAGATACTAAAATATATCTTCATTTCATCAAACACTAAGATGCAAAAACAAATCTCTAAAACAAAAAATGTAATATAACGTACCCTATAAAATCATTATTATTTATTTAAAGGTAGTATGATTCTAAGACCTATCTTCTAAGGTAATAGTTACATTTTTTCAATTCTTCTTATTTGCCTTATATGCACAAATTTTGACATTGAGACAAGGTGTTGCTCTGTAGCTCAGGCTTATCCTGGATCTTATGATTCTCCTGGGATTATAGTAGAAGTGCCCTACCATGTCCTGCCAAAGCAAATTTTTAGGTTCCAGCTCTGCCAGTTAGCTCTCCAATTTTTAGAAAGTTACTAACTTCTCTGAGTCTCATTCTCTTTATCTGGGAAATGGGACACATGCATGAGAATTAAATGTGATTACTTATTTAAGGAATATAGTACAATATCTAGAAGAAATAGAAGTCAAATGAAGTTTTCTCCCATAATCCCTATGGACTACATGAGATTAAACTAAAAACTAGATTGTTTTAAAAGACTTCTACCAATCCTCAGGGCAAATCCACTACTTTCCTTGAGAACAATTATTTGGTAAGAAAAGTTTGTTTTCTTCGTATGTGTCTCTCTTCTTCAAAATGAGAACACAAAACTTATGTTATTTAAGTTGACCAGTTATACATAAATTCAGTACTTCCATTCTGTTTACTGAACTGAAACTCTAAACCCATCACAAAGTTGCTGAAGAAAGGAACTACAGAAATAATGTGTTCAAAGAGTGAAAGAAGTAAGGTCAAAGAGAGTTAAAATGGCAATTCCACGAGTGGTTTGTGGCTTTCTTCTAACCTTAAATTCATTTATTAAACTCTAACAAATGTTCAAGAGTCAAGACCATACCTCTATGATATGGGAGATTTAGTAACCTGATCCTTCAGATCACCCAAAAGCAAGTTTCAGTTCCCTCCACTAACAACCCAGTCATTTCCAACATGGAAACAGGTCTTCAAGTGGTGCTCATATGGAGTAGGTACTGAAATAAGACTATTTTTCTATAACCTCAAGTTCAGACCTATATATTCTGTTAGCTCATTTCTGCTGAATGGTTTTTATCACCCCTCCAATTACTTTTATAAAAACAGCAATGCTCACTTTTAAAAACTTGGAATACCAAAAGTATGAGCATTTTTAAGCCGCCTACAATATTTCTAGCCAGACTAAAACATTACAAGAGGCCCTTTCATTATATTTCCTATGAGTTTGGTAACTGTGGTCACACCAAGTATTTACATGTGTGGAGGACCTAAGCACAATTACCAGCCCACATCAGAATTCATTTTGGCTTTGAGACTAAATGTACTTTTTGGGGGGTAGGGGATGGTACTGGGGATTGAAATCAGGACTTCACGCTTGCTAGGAAGGCACTCTACCACCTGAGCCATTCCCCCAGCCCCACATTTCTTTTTTCCTTATTAAACTCAACAGTTTCTCCTCAATAATTGTTCTTCTGAGTCTCTCAAATATTTTATCACTGAACACGTTCTTCTTTCTTAAAACTCTGTCTGAAGTTTCTCAAAATAGTATCTTATTCAGTTATCTACAAAAATCTCTCCAAGTAATCTTTTTCTTTCTTCATGGCTCTTCTATAATAGCCTCTTAAAAATGGCTCAGGTCCCTGACCTTTGAATTTTCTTGCAAACCTTGAATCCTCACCACTAAGTACAATGCCAGGGATCAAGCAAATGCTTAAGAAATATTAATTAATTTATTTGTTGCCAATCTGGATCTGTCACTTACTAGCTGTTGTGACTTGGACAAGTTAAATCTGATTCTCAGATCTCTTACCTATAAAATAGATAATCAAAAGATGATAAAGCTCAAAATAGCAGCTGGCACAAAGTAGAGCTCAATAAATTTTGCTATTACTATCAACACACTCTGGTGTACACTGAAAAATATTTATTTTTTATTTATTTTTTATATGTAAAAAGTATTACATATGACTATCAAATCTACCTCAATGACAACTTATTTTCACTACATTCTCTTAACTATCAAGAAATGTCTTTGTGCACTTTCCTTTGCTATCTTCAATCTATCAACTGTTGTAATGCTTTCTTAACCATTATTTACCAACTAAGCTGCAGTAAGAGGCTTAGTTTGATTTCCACACCCCAAACGTTCACTCGATTCTTCAATTCTCCTAAAAACCTTTTTTAATTTGCAAATCTTGTCACAGATGCTTATACTACACCCAAGCTACTGGGCTCTCATTTTAGTGTCTTCTAATAACTCATATCCCAACTACTGCTTCAAATGATGGTTCAAAACTTACCTTTCTCAGGAAGCTTTTCCTGAACTAACTCCACTTCAATTACCTCTCTTCTCCAAGGGGGTCTCAGAACTTAGGTTTTCTGTTAATATTGAGGGTAAAAATGTGATCATAATGAATAAGGTTACCAAGAAATAACTTGCACAAAACTATTTTCTACATCCCTAATTACAATGCTTTGTTGAACTGGAGAACAATGAAATATCCTATACAATTGTTCTTTTTGGTTTTTGTCCTCAACACTGTAACCCTTCACAATCCTTCTGTCCTATCCACAAGCAAAAATTATCCCTTTCTCTACCCCCAATCTCTGCCAACAGTCTACTAACAAAGATTCCAAAAGTTCCAAACAAAAAGGCATTTGCAGTGATACACATAGACTATGTCTTTCTTTCTTGCCTTTTTTTTTTGTGGTGCACACTATCACTGTGCTACATCCCCAATCCATGTCTTTCCTGAGTAAAAAGAATTTTGAATCCACTTAGATAGAAAACTCCGCTTACACCTGAAAATCTTCCCAACAACAAATGTAATACATAATCAAACTCCGCTACATTAAAAAGGTTCATTGTATAGAACACAACTATACTTACACATTAATTCTCACTTGTGCGACTGTAAGAGATCTTGCATCATTTTAATGCTGTATTACACATGCCCAACAAGAGGGAACTGAGGAGTTCCCCCGGAGGGCAGATTTTCTAAGAGTATCTTCTGATGTTATCTCTGAACAATCTACTTTTTTTTAATGTAAAGGATTACGGGATTCACCGTGGACCGCCAATCGAAAGCAAATAGTACTTGTGTGCATTATTTCTGAGAGGTAAGTCTGTGGTGCTGCTGAGGCACCACAGGGAGACTGAGGACTACCACGTGGGTGAAGAAGGGTGGGAAGAGTCTGGGCAGTGAAAGTTCGTGCTCAGGAAGAGTGAAATACCCCGACTCTTGCTCACACCTGCAACATTCGCCTTTCCCAATGCTGTTCTTGCTCAATTTCACAAAACACGCACAGCCTTCAACCACCGTACATAAATCCACCTGGCTGCTCCCTGTGTGCTTTCTAACAGACCAAATAACGCCTTCTGCTCAAACAGCCTCCATCCACACCTCGCCCAGGGCCTCTTCCCGCAGTCACCTTCCGGTTTCAGTAGATGCGCCCCGTATTCCGTTTCCACGTGTCCCTGTTTGTCCCGAGATCTTAAGCTTCAAAACTCTGCTTCAAAACCTGCTCTCCTTTCGCTTTCAGCTCATCTCCCCAACCCCTTCGGATGCCTACTGCCAAGAAGCCAACCGCCTCCCCGCCCCGCGCCTCCTCCCTGGACACCCTTTTCTCAGCATCACCCGTTTCCCATCACTTTCCTCCTGCCCACATCCGGAATCTCTCGATCACAGCCCGCTTTTGCCGCCGCCCTCCCTCACGCACCGGAGCCCGCGCCTCCGTTCAGTACCCGTCCCACCTTCGCCACCTCTACGCGGCCTCCCAGCTCAGGCGGCGCCCCCACCCCAGGCGGCGCGGCTGCAAGCCAGGCCCCTCCCTCCGTTCCCTCGCGGTCCCGGCCCTAGAGAGGGCGGCGGCTCGGCCACGCCGCGCAGGGACCACCCTGGGCTGGAAGCGGACGCCCCCATTCCCGGGGAAGCGGTGGGGGCGGGGACAGGCCAGCTGCCCCACCTCGGCCCAACCTGCCCTGAGGGAGAAGCTGCCCAGCCCAGGCAAGAAGGAGCCCACAGTCCGAGCCTCCCGCGGCGCCCTGCCTCTCACCGAGAGGCAGAGGTGGGGCCTCGGCACTCCTCCTGGCAGTCCAGCGATGGCTGCGCCGCCACCGCCACTGCAGCCGCCGCTACCACCGCTGTCGCGCTCTCCTCACTCTCTTTCCACCGCCCCCGACCGGCTGCTGAAGAGCGGACGCATAGCGGCACGCCCATTGGCTACGATCGCCCTCGCGTCAGCAGGTCCCGACGGCACCTCGGAACGTGACTGGTTGGCGCGGCGCCTCTTTTTCACGTCTGCTCATGATTGGCTCTTGCGCGCCCCTCACAGGGAGGATCACTCACCCTCCTCTTGTCTTCAGCCTTTCTCCTCCGTGCCCCCCCTCCAGGTTTCCATCCGGATGGGAGGGGAGCGGGAGCGCGCGCCAGCGGGACGCGAACAGCCAATAGGGGCGCGGAAAGAGGGCCTGGAGGTGGGCGCCGCGACGCGGGCAGGGGAAAGCTCAGCCAATGAACGCGCGACCCACATCCCTGGCTCGTCAGCGCCGTCCCCGGCCGCTCGCGTTCCTGCGGGTCGCGCCCAGGGCCACGCCCGGCTGCCCGTGGCGCGGGAGGGGTGCCCACTCGAATGGTGCGGGGCACGCGGCGAGGCTGGCGCTGGAGCCCCAGGGACAGCCATTGTGGCGTGCTCCCGGATTGCCTACGTGGAACCTGGCTCGCTTTTCCAGGCCACGGGCGAGAGTGACAGACCTCTCCGAGAACTACCAGCTTGGTTGGGGTCAGTGAGCAGAACCATAGCACGGAAGACCCCTGGAAGCTTCTCGGGTTGCCCAGTACAGTAGGGAGGGTACCGAGCCCGTGGCTCATCCAGCCCCGCGGGACTGTGGGCCTAAGCTTTCCACCGTCTGTTTCCTCCAAGATAATTCCGTCCAAGACTTAGGGATGGGGGACAGGGGCACGAGGGAACGTCACGGGACACGGCGAGTGTGCATATGTACACATGAGGTTAGTGCTACTCTGTGCGCGTCATGTACAGCATACTCAAATTTTAAAATTACAGGATGGTGAGACTCCCTCCTGAATACACAGTCCCCACCAGAAGTTAGCTGTCATTCTACAGCTACAAACCATTGTGTGGGAAAAGGATTCTGAGAAGTCAAAGCTCCTGGCACATGAATAGCGCACACAGGATGGAACCTTAAGGATGGTGGAACCTGAGAATGACTGTAGGTGATTTTCCTTTAGGAATTTGGAGTTTGTTTCAGTGCCTGGCCCTGGTAATAGCAGGAAAGCACTCAGCACTGCACCCAGCCACATTAGGTAAAAGCTTACCTAATTGCCTACTTTGGAAGACCTAAGTTCTGAGCCAAAGAAATGAACTTGAATACTGTGACTTCTGTCCTGGAAGCACTCATTATTCCAACACCAACTGCATTTCTGGAGCAGGTCACAGAACACAAAACAGCTGCTTACCTTTATTCAGCTATGAGACATTCCATGTTAGGTAAGGCTCCCTCCTGTGGGCCTACAGCCCACTCACTCCGGTAGCTAAATTCTGAAATAGGCAGAGTTAGAGCTAAGAATTGTTTGATTCAAATCAGTGTGTACATAATGGGTGCCTCCAGTAGAGACCCCACATAGATAGGCAGAGGGAGAACTTTCTAAAGAATACTTGAAAGAAACACCCACTCTAAAAGATGGTACAATCCTATGGATAAAATATGTCATATGGCCAGAATTCCCCCAATGAAGTACCATCATGTTTTTAAAATTTTATTAGGATATATTCGTTACACATAGGGACAATTCCAATTAGACTTACATTGTACATTAGTTACACTTCCCCCATCATTCCCCCACAACCCCCTCCCCGCCCCACTTACAGCAATTGCAAGAGGTTCTTAGTTCTGCTTCATATAGATACATGAAGTCCATCTACCATATACTGTCACCTTAATCTCCTTCCTTCACCCTCCCCCCACACACACATATCACTAGTACCCTTCCGCACACATATCAATCTTAAGTAAATGCAAAAATTCACATAGCTACAAAAAGTAATTATGTTCACAAAAGGCAATGAAAGATTTTGCCCCAGAGTTTTCCTTAGAAAACATAATAACACTGCTACACTTTGGATCTGAATTGTCCTCCAAAGGTTCATATTGTAAAGGCTTAATCCTCAGCTTGGCACTATTGGAAGGTGGTGCAATCTTTAAGATGTGGAACCTTGTGGGAGGTCACTGGGGGCATGCCCTCAAGTCAGACTGTGAGACAGTGATCTCTTCCTCTCTCTTTTGCCCTTTGCAGCCATCTATTTCCCTTGGATCCACCTGCCCATGGACTAAAACCTCCAAAACTGTGAACTGAAGAAACCATTCTTATTTTTAAGACAATTGTCTTAGGTATTTGTTACAGTAATACAGTGCTGACTAACAACTAACACAAGCACCAAAAACTGTCATTCATTCAGCTGCCTTTCCCATCTTTCTTTAACCAGAGCCCTGAAAAATTAGACTTCTCTATATTGGACTCAACTGCATTGCAATTTTACTCAAATATGAAACACTTCTACATGCTTTTGATCCATGCTATAGAAATAATGTTCTGTAAATGAATGTAAGTTATGCCAAGCAAAAAATGTGATATTATAGTTTCCAGCCTAAAGACAGATACCAGATATTTACTGAGAAAATATTTAGGTCAAACACATGTGCTACCCCTAGTGCAGTTAATAGCTACTTAGGAATTCCTCAGAATTTCCTAACTTATTTAGAAATTGAAAACAAGTAAAATCAGACATTAATTTTAGGCAAATACCATTTCTCTCCACACTGGGGAAACACTTTTTATTGCAACATGTGTCATTTTCTAGCTCATAATATATTTTTCTGTCAGTGTCTTCTTAAACATTCTGCTGAGATTGTTCCTTTATCCTCACAGCAACCCTATGTATGTATTCATCTGGATTGTTTGAAGAGGAAATTGAGACTCACTGAGACAAGTAACTTGCCCAAAGTCACACAGTTTTTAGGTGGCAAAAGTGTAACTGAAATCCAGATTTATTTAATGGTTAAGCACCATAATCTTTCTATGATACTCCCTTTGCCTCCTCCACAACAGAATCAACTCATATGTCTTATCTTTATACATACTTGCATCCTCCACAATTTTATATATGTCCCTCATGGAATTCACAAGATTAACAATTATTTTCTTCATGCTTTGTATTTACAGATTCCGTGATGATTTAAAAGTAGCTGTTGTATATGTAAAATGACAAAACTGAAGGTGATTCAACTCTCTGTAATTGCTGTTAGAGAATCCATCACAACTATTTCGAATACATCAGATATATTTACTCTCATGGCTTAGAGTCTCAGGCAATTTTGCTCAAGTGAGCTAAATTTTAGTTAGAGCAGTTATTCTCTGCAGTTCATTTAGTGAGCTCTGCGTTGTCCTGCCCCCAATTACAGCATCCAAAATTGGTCTGCTTTAAAAATACTTTGTGGTGGTGGGGATTGAAGCCCATGACCTTGAACATGCTAGGTAAGCGTTCTTACCAACAAGCTACATCCCCAGCCCTTTGCTTTTAAAATATTTAAAAGGCTATTAGTAAAAACACAAGACAACAACAAAAATCCTTTCAATTTTGTAACATTTCAACGGGCACAACACTTGCCATTCTGGTCAAGTACACACAGATCCCCGTGGCTTCATTTCCTCATCTCTAAAAGGAGGGTAAAACCAAGTATCTTTTTAGGTGTTTCAGAGATTTGTAAAATAAGCTTGGTTTTCATCTGGAGGGCAACAATCTGACCCTCAGATAGTCTACAGGTTTAATCTAAGTGGAACAAAAATGGAACTGCTATGTTCCTGACTCTTTTAAAGCGTTCTTTTTGTTCTGACCATTGACTTTCTGGTTCTCAGCTGTCTCCTCTGGATCATGCTCATGATAAAGATGTCTTAAAGGTTACCTAGCTCACAGGTCTTGAGAGAAAAAGGTACCGTATTTGTTTTTGTTTTTGCAAGAGAAAAGATTTATTTTGGCTCACAGTTTTGAAGGTTCCAGTCCACAGTAAGTTAAGGTACAGTATTTGTAACATTTGTTATCAATTTTCCAATCATTGTGAAAAGAAGAAACCATCTTGCTGCCCATGTTCTTTCCACACCTGATTACCTGGCCATTATTTTGTCCATCTTTTGTGGGTGGTATTGTCATGAGTTGCGCATCATCTTGGGACAGTGATAATTGAATAGGACCCTGAGATCTGGGAATTATTCTTTTTCCTGTCTTTTTTCTTCTTTTTGTTTCTTTCTTAGAGATTTACTCCCTTTGTATATATGAGTCAGAACAGAACTGCTACAGATGCCCAGAAATGAAAATCACTAGTTTGTCATTGTTTTTTTTTTTCTAATATCACCATGTGTCCAAGTGTAAGCCAGGACCTGCATTTTTCCTTTTCTCTTGGTGGTGCTTTATGAGAATAGTGCCTAAAGTTTCTAAGGTTTGTACCAGTACACCCTTGAATTTCTAGGGTAAGGCCTCTTCTTGGGCATGTTTGCAAAGGAAAGTTCTCAAAGAAAAACCACAAGCAGCTAACCACACTTACGTATTAAAAAAAATTGTTAGTGTCTACAAAGATATGACTCTTTGAGGAAACAAAACACATTTGACTCATTTGCTAATCTGTTAATGTCCAGAGTAGAGATGATGCATAGATTAATTTTTTCATAAGTACTTCCATTTAATCACTTCAATATAATTATTTCTTAGAGAAGCCAGTTGTAGGGTTTTTTATGAGATTGGCAGTAGTTGGCTTGAGAAGACTAGAGTATAGTGATTTTAGAACTGAACTAGGCCTTCATGACCTTCAGTTTTGTCAAGGTCCTGATTCTAGACCTGAACTCCTGAGTTTCGAATCCCAGCACTACCACTTCCTACTTTTGTGATCCTGGGCAAGTTGTTTGATCACTGGGACACAGTTTCCTGGAGCTAAAACAGAAATGACCATAGTAGTACCTACGTCATGGGGTGCTATGAAGCGGAATGTTTTAAAGCACTTAGAATCATTTCTGACACATAGTAAGCTCCCTCTAAAGTATTTGTTAAATTTCAAGAAAAAAATAAGGTAAAATATTTTCCAGAACCAATAACGATGTCCTCC